TAAAACATTAAAAAAAAAAAAAAAAACATCACCAGGAGAAAAATTATGTTGCGTATCTATGATAATTGAGACACTTATGTTATTAATGTGCGAATGTAATTAGTCCTAATAAGCTGCGAATGGTCTGAAAAAAAAGTTGTCTGAAACTTAATAAAAAAAAAACTTAACAAGACAGCCCTGCTACTTCATAAGATGCTGCTGTGGAGGCAAAAAAAAAAAAGCCTGTAGCTAGATAAAACTTTAAAACTTTCTTTTGACAATTAAAAGTTTATTTTGCTACATTAACTTTTTTACTATAAATATATGCAGCAATTGTTTTTCAAAACGCCTTAATATGCTTATGACGTAATTCAAAAAAAACCCAATTAAAAATAAAATTGTTTGGAAAAACTCTTTGTAAAACGTTTTTTGAAACGAATAACTTTTATTTAGTTTTTTTTTTCTTTTGTGCAACTTTCTTTTCAATAAATTTCTTTACCTTTCAGAATATGACCATTTTTAACAATGCTATAGAAAAAATATCGGTAAATTGATTAGTAGTATTTCAATTATATTAATTAGATTAAATTATATATATTAAATTTTATATTATATATATTAAATAAAATAAATAAATAAATTGAAATTCAGTTAATACATGGGTATTTTTTTGTTTTTTTTATACTTAGTGACAAAATAGACTAATTAGATAATTCGTTAAGTAGAATGCTAAGAATATATTTATGGCGGTTATTGTTGTTAAGGGTGATTAATAGGCAAATAAATTAAAAGCTAATCAAGGCTTCGAATAAATTATAAACTAATCAGGGAAGTTTTATTGGTAAACCTAATAAATAGGAAGATAACATATAATTCAGGTAGACATTGTTTTCACTTTTTCGACAAACTTTGATATCTTTGATATTAAAAAATATGACCTTTTCAATAATTATAGATCGTAGTGCATTAACTTTTTTTTTTTGGAACCCTAATCCGTTATGATTTGTATTTTATCAATGTGAACGAAAGTCTATTCAAATATCTAAATATGTAAACTTTAAGTTCTTTAATTATCAATCAGTATTATTATAAAGTAGATGACATCAAATACTACCGATTTATTTTTACTTAAAAATTTCATTGCGACAATATCTCTTTATTTTAAAGCATTAAATGTTGTTTTTTAAAGTTTAATAAGTTTTCTGTTTATTAAATAGTGTAAAAAGATGATATAGCATTCCACAGCGATTGAAGTGCTTCGCTTCGGTTCAAAACCTTTTGCTTACACAATTTTTTTTTTTAAATCCTATCCAGTTTTCTAGAAAACAAAGAAAAACAAGTTTAAATGCAAATAGATGTTATACGCATTACATAAAAATAAAGATATAATATACTATAAGAAACCAAACGGAGAGTATTTTTTAAAACGTTTTTTAAAATTTTTAAAAACATAAAAACGCTGTTGGAAATTTGTTGCGCATATATCATGATAGAGATACTTATGTTTTAGGTAATTAGTTAAAACTGCGAGTTCAACACACATTAAAGAGATAAATTTCTTTCTTATAAATATAAAAAAAAGGTTTTACATGCAATCTGAAATTTTTATTAAAACTAACTGGTCAAGAGTCCTAAAAAGTACGGAAAGGTATGAAAAAAAAAATTGTAATCTGAAACCTAAAAAAAAAAATTTAGTTACTCCAGAAGGTGACAAACAGAAAACCCACAAAATTTCGCCTAATCCGCTAATAGAAATGCTCGAATATTAAGATATAAACAAATATTAAATGATTTTTGTATTACGAAACGTACGCCAACTCTTAAACCAATGTAAAACTACCTTGCGGTTATCTAATTAAATCCACCAAATCCGTTAATAAAAACATTAATTTTTGAATATATTAATTAAGCTGTTAATGTTTTAACATTGTTAAAACATTAACAGCTTAATTAATAGATTCAAAACCATCTGATTTTTGTATTATGATATGTGCGCCAACTGTACTCTAAAACCAATAAAACTCGGCCATGTGGTCTTCATATCGATTATAACAATTGCAAAGCGAGGGACGACAAGTAAGTTGTATCTACAAGTTTAATTATTGTAATCTTCATTTAAAAAATTAAACTTATTTTATAATTACCATGTTAATATGTTTGAAGTTAATATGTTTTTGACCCAAGAATAAACATTAAGATTATTTTTTAGAAATGAGCAGCCAAGATACAGAAGGTATTCTTTTAGTTTTGTATAACATTAATTAATTAAAGAGATAAAAAGAGATGATACGTCAATAATACTGAGATATTTAGCTTATTATTTTATTAAGAAACTACATTAAGATAATTTTGTATATCTTTAGGCGACAAAGAAGTTTCTGCTTTTTTTCGAAGTAAGCCATATATATATACTATATATAGTAGCAGTTACATATGTTCTAAAAGTGGCGGAGCTGTACTTAATTTACGGTATGAATAAAACGATGTTTTAATTTAGCCGTTTTTAATTAAAATCAACCAAGATATGCCGCCCTCCCCTAACCCCGTGAATCAAGTATACCCCCCTAAAATTTTACTAAAATTAAAAAATATATAAATTAATTTTTGGAACTTTAAAAGGGTAGACCCAAAACTCAGTTTTTGTTTATTCCGCTATTTTGATTGATGCTTTTGAAAAGCAGTGAACCTTAAAAACGCGTATAAACTTTATTTAAGGTGTTTAAGCTATAATTTTATAAAACGTGTTTAAGCTAAAATTGACTTTTAAGTCTTCTAACTACTAAACTTTTACGTAAAATGAAACTTTTTGTCATTTACTGAATGTGTTAAATTATAAAACTGTGCAACAGTTTTATAATTTAAGACAAATCTTATATGTTTAATTGAAAAAGTAAATATTTTGAAAATTAGTTTTGTCTATATATATATTAGATGTTCAAGAGATCAGAGCCGAAGAGCTCTTGCCAAGTAAGCTAGTTTTGTATGAGAAGGATATGTTACAAAGATATATATTTCACCAACTTCAGCAATTTTTTAATTATAACTTTTTTTTAATGTTTAGCGGAAGTAATGGACAAGCTAAGTGAGGAATTTTGTTGTTGTTTTTTGTTGTTTTTTTTGTGTGCAAATACATTTATGCTTTTTTAGTTTTTTTAAAGTTATTTAGCAACTGACTTTAGTCAGTTGTGACAGTTTGTCAGTCAGCAAGTGACTTTTGTAACTTTTAAATTTATTTTATTTAGAAAAATTAGAAGATTCTGTTGAGAATCTAAGTAAGCAATTTGTTATTGTTGTTGTAATGCTCTTTATTTTTTTTATTACATATTTTTTTAACATAAAGTTATTTTATATTTGGCAAGTTAGTTTATTTTAATGTTTAAGTTTTTCATTTTATTTAAAAAAATTAGAACATTCAATTCTCCTTGCATGAAAGATGGAGTTTGCACAAAAAAATTTCCTAAAGAGTTTAATCCTTGCATTGTTGCCATTTTTAATGGTTATCCTAACTACAGGCGTTTAGATAATGGTAGAGTAGTCATTATAAAAGGTAACCAAGTTGATAATCGATGGGTCGTACCCTATAACCCCTGGTTATCAAAAAAATACCAAGCCTACATTAATGTTGAAGCTTGCATGTCTATTAAGTCAGTGAAGTATTTATACAAATATGTCTATAAGGGGCATGATTGTGCGAATGTGGTAGTTAATGAAAGTGTTGACCATGATGAAATTAACACATATTTAGATTGTCGCTTTGTTTCCGCCCCAGAGGCTCTTTGGCGAATATATGAGTATTCCATAAGTGATATGTCACAACTATTATCCGCCTTCAAATCCACCTTCCTGATAATCAGAGAGTATATTTTAACGAAGGAGAAGAACAAGTAGCTATAGATCGTGCAGCACAGCGTCACACTCACCTAACTGCTTGGTTTAAGTTAAATGCTGAAAATAATGAAGCACGTCAGTATTTTTATGTTGAAATTCCATATCACTTTGTTTTTGGTAAAAATTGCATGTGAAAAGTAAGACAAAGAGGTAGTGATAAGGTGGTTGTTCGAATGTATAAAGTCAGTTCATTTTGCGAATTATTTTCTCTCAGATTGTTACTTTTGCATGTAAAAGGTGCAAAGTCTTTTGAGGATTTGCGTACTGTTCATGGTACTGTTTTTAATACATTTCGTGAAGCATGTTATCATTTAGGTTTATTGCAAGATGACATTGAGTGGAGAAATACATTAACTGAAGCTGCTGCAACTCGGATACCTAAACAAATTAGGCTACTGTTTTCCATCATATTAACTTTATGTGAACCTGATGATCCTTTACACCTTTGGAATATATTTAAAAATTATATGGTTGAGGATTACATACACCATTCAATGCCAGTCGTACTTGCTGAGCAGGCAGCTCTTCGTCAAATTGAATCTATAGTTAATCAGAGTGGTAAAACTTTAGCTGATTATAATTTGCAAGCTTTAGATCAGTTTTTAGATAATGTCCCAGAAAATGATGATGAAGATGTTCAGGTGTTTATTGATGAAGCAAACCGAGTTAGACCATTATTGAATGATAATCAACGTAATGTAGCTGATGCGATCCTTGCTGCACTAAGTGTGGAACCTACTAATGAAAATAAGCATTCGAGGTTGTTTTTTATGGATGGGCCTGCCGGTTGTGGTAAAACATTTACTTACAATTATTTAATTTCTAAAACACAGAGCAGGCATATTAGAACTGCAACAGCTTCATGGACAGGAATAGCTGCAACTCTTCTCAAAAATAAAAAAAAAAAAAAAAAGAGCACAATGCATGGCTTATTCAAACTTCCTGTTCCAATTTTGGAAACTAGCACATGTAATGTAACTCCAAACTCTATTCATGGTAGATTCCTGAGACAAATCAGTTTGTATTTACTTGATGAAGCATCTATGTAACCCAAATATGCTTTGAGTGCCGTTGATAAGCTATTACAAGATATTTGTAATAACAACTTTCCTTTTGGTGGTAAGGTTATTCTTATGGGTGGAGACTTCAGACAAATACTTTCAGTTGTGAAGCGAGGTCGACCAGCAGAAGTTATAGAATCATGTTTAAAATGTTCTGAACATTGGCAATATGTGCAAAGGTTCTCATTAACTGTAAATATGAGGGTTCAGATAGAAGAAGAGGAATTTTCTCAATGGCTTTTAAAGCTTGGAAGTGGAACATTACCTGTCAAGCCTGAAGATCCTTTGCGAGGGTGTATTGAAATACCTGAGCAGTGCTTTCTCAGTGAAAATGAATCTATTGTGGAGAAGATTTTCGGTGGTGCAGAAGAAGCTGATTATGCAAAACGTGCTATTTTAACGCCAACAAATGTTGATTCATTGGCAATAAATGAAGAAGTCCTTCATCGTTTACCCGGTGATGTGAAAACATATTTAAGTTCAGATAGCATTGAAACTGATGATCTTAATGAAATTAATAACTTTCCAGTCGAGTTTTTATATAGTTTGACTCCATCAGGTATGCCTGTTCATTGCCTAAAATTAAAAATTGGTGCTGTTATAATGCTACTTAGAAATTTAGATCTCAAAGGTGGACTTTGTAATGGAACCCGTTTGATGGTGCGTGCATTACACAAAAATTATATTGATGGTGAGGTTTTAACAGGTGTGTCAGCTGGTAACAGGGTATTTGTTCCTCGAGTTCAATTAGCTCCATCAGATGCAAATTTACCTTTTACACTTAAACGCCGTCAGTTTCCAGTTTGGTTAGCATACTCAATGACCATAAATAAAAGTCAAGGTCAAACAATTGAAAAAGTTGGCGTTATCTTAAAAAGCTTTGCTTTTCACACGGCCAATTATATGTTGCATGTTCAAGAACAAGATCATTTAATAGTTTGTTTTTCAAAGTTGATAAACATCCATTACAAGGTATGTCATTTAACAAACATTACACAAATAATGTTGTCTTTACAAATGTTCTTAATTTATAATTTTGACAACTATATTATGTGTTATATGTGTTTTATATTTTTTTATGTTTTTTTTTTTTTGCTATATGTGTATATAAATGTATGTGTTTATATGCGTTTATATATCTTTATTTATATTTATGTGCTTATGTTTATACAAGTTTATATTAAGTTGTTTCCATGTGAAAAGTGGTGTTACTTGGCAACGTGAAGTGCAAGATTGTGATTCTTGCTAGCCAAGCGGTGTTACTAATTAGTGGTGTTACTTGGCACTTAATGCCAAGCGGTGTTACTAAATTGTGGTGTTACTTGGCAGCGTTTAGTGCCAAGCGGTGTTACAAGTGTTGAGCTAGGTTGTGTTGTCTAGCTTTTTTAATTATTCTGGAAACACATAATCTGAATATTTTGTGTTATGTGCAAATGTGTTATGTACAAATATTTGATGCTATGTGTATTCAGTAGCATAGGCAGGGTCTTTTGATGCTTCAGATAGCACTTTCAACCAAACTTAAGTGTATTCACGTTTATAGAATTAAAATACTTTGCAAAAAATTGATGTTGTTAAAGCTTAGGAACAAATGTTTAAAAAAAGTGTTTTTCCTAACCTGAATTTTTTTAGACATAACAAAGTTAAACTCTTCAACAGCTTCTAAATATATATCTGAAACAACAAAAATCCTGCCTACACTACTGGTGTTATTGTTTGTCATCTTGTAATGTTGTTGTGATGTTCTGTGTTGATAGACAGCTTGGCTTACCTTCACGTTGGTGTCTATCGTTAAAAAAGATTATTGGGTAGCTTCATTACTGAAACTTACTCCTAATCATTTACTAAAAGCCAAGTAATATTTTAAGAAAAAATGCCTAATTTTTTTGTGTCAGTAAGAATTTTTATCTTTTGCAATGCTGATAAAACTGAACTTTTTTAAAAAAAGAATTTTTTTAAAAAAATTTCCAGCCTTTTAACCAAATATTAGAGACTTTTACAAAAGCACTCTCACAAAGTAAGTTTCTAATATTTATTTAATATGACTAAATTTCGTTTCGTATTTTTCATTTTTCAAATGAATTAACATAAAACAAATAAATGTGCATTCAGTGTTATCAATAATGATTTTATTTCATTTTTAGATAATGCTTTTATAATCAATTTAAAAGTCTTTCAAATCGTTAATCATTTTTCTAAAGGCGAAGAAAAAGAATCATTAATCTTCATACCATTTAATAAAGCTATTTTAATAAAACGCAATACAAATTGTTGTAAATTAGTATTTGAATAATTTTCACATTGTTACTTTACTGTGCAGTTTCCTATCACTTTGTATTGAATTAACTAAATCTAATATTACAATATTACAATATTACAGTTCCTTTTATCAAGTACTTCACATTTTCTGTTTTTGTTTTTGCAGAAAAACAGATCAAGTTAATTTATTTGACTTGCCTAGCTACTTATTTTACACGCCTAGCCACAGTGAGTGTGCATAAATCAACAGAGGATTTGGGTTTGGGCAGGTTGTCTTGAACTAAATGATTTACCTTCTTCATGTTAAGCTTTAAATATAAATATACGGAAAAGGTGCATATGTGAACTTTTTTTTTTCTAGCACATAATCTATTGTTCACTAAAAAATATTAGAGGGAGAAAGAGAGATAAGGTTTATGTGGAATAGAGTTTGTCCTTTTAAGTGAAAAACTATTTTATAATCTATCTATCTTCTATATAATAATGCCGAACTTAATAGTAGTGTTAGTAGAAAGAGTCGCAGCACTTTTTTTAGAAGAAAACGTGTATGCAAATATCTAACGTACATAATTAAGTAATGATAAAACATACTGAAACTTTTTTCAAGTTTTATAGTTTGACTTTGACTTAAAAATTGCATTGCGTCAACCTCTCCATTTAAAACCAATTCTGTTAAGAACAATTTTTAAACATTTTTAAAATTTCGATATTTGATATGTCAGCATGGCCGAGTGGTTAGCGCGCTAAGCTTCTGAACGTAATAGTCGTGGTTCAAATTTACCACCAGCGATTTTTTTCTTTAAATTACAAAATATTTGTGAAGTTAAACAAGTTAAATGTTATACACTTTAACCGTTTTTTCTTTTTAAATTTTATAAATTGTTTGGATTTCTAAAAACACCAATAAACGTGGCGAAAATTTGTTGCGTGTGTGTCACTATTTTGATACTGTTCTCACATAATTGGTCCTAATAAGCTACGGATAGTCTTAAAAAAAAAGGTCCTAAAACCTAATAAAGAAAAATTTGATAAAACCGTCCTGCTACCCCGCATAGTATTGCAGTGGAGGCAGGGAAAAAAAAAGCAATTTAAAGGTTTTTTGTTATATTTAATTTTTTGCTATAAATATAACCAGATTAAAAAAATTAAAAAAAATGTATTAAGACTTTTTAGGCGCGGATTTGAAGCCTTGCACAGCGAATCTGATGACAGCGCATTTAACTTGTGAGCTATCAAAGTTATGCATGTAGTTAGGCGCTTCAACATTTTTTTAAAAATGTAAAATGAAAACAAAATAAATACCATAAGTAAAAGCTAAATAAAAACGTTTAAAAATTACCAACCTTTTTGTTATATTAATATTAGTTTTTCAACTTTTAAACCACAAAATTTATAATTTATTTTTGTGCATGACTTTTGACGCTTTAGGCGACTATCGTTTTAAAGAATTGCATTACCATTTCCGTCTAATACAAAGGTAACTATAAAAGACCGTTATTATTCAAAACTAAGCATATAATAATAATAATAAATATAGTAAATAGTAACTATTGAAAATGGCTAGGACGCGACCATAAACCATGGTCCATCGCTGGTCTAAATGTAAATAGTAGTTCAGTTCAGAATTTAAAAAAAAATTAATAAACGGGGTTTAATAAGCTATAAACGTATGCGGAAAAAGTGCGTATGTTAAAGTTTTTTTTTGCTCTCAAAGCAAATTTTTTAATGAATCTTTATCCACCGTTTACTAAAAAATATTGAAGTAAATAAGGAACAAGTAAAGAAATGATTGGCGTGGAATAAATAAATATAGAATTAGAAGAATAGACATGTATTTACCGATACGGACAGCTAGATAAAGAAAATAAAGAAAAACGTTTGTGTGGAATAGAACTACAAAGACCCGTATTTTTACGGGTCAATCCAGCTAGTCTAAATATAAAAGGAAAAAAACCTCCCGCTTTAAGGTCGTTACCAATACATGTCGTCATACCAATGTCAAAGCAATTCAATGAAGTATTTTCAGTTGGTGCAATGCTGTGTTTAACCCATTTAAAGCAAGAAACTGCTTTATCTAGAGTCAACGAAAACACCAATTTATGTACGGAAACACAAACACAGCAAAAACAAACATATATGACACCTCCTACTCCAGATGAAGAATTTGATCCCGGTGAAATTAATGTTTCACAGGAGATTTTGGACGAATCTCTAAGAAGCCGTGAGAGTGTAACTGAGGTTCTTAATGCAAGTCCAATAAAATTTAGATTAAAAAGGAAGTTCGAATATCTGGAAGATACTACTAAAGATAAGTTAAAACGCAAGTATGATCGCCTAGAAATCTTATTATTGAAAAAATTTGCGGAAGCTGTTGCTCCTGGACAAGAGGAAATGTTTATAGATTTTCTTAACAGTAAAAATGTTGATGAAATAAATAGCCCTCTCCCAGAAAGTATATAAGCAAAGTGATTCCATGGGAAAGTTAGTTATCCTCTCATTATTAGACTATATTAAGTATACCAAAAAGTTTATAATGAACACATTTGAGTGTACCAAACATCGTATAGAAACAGCAAGAAAATGGCATGCATCTCATAAAGGGTTGGCATTTCCAGAGAAGAAAGTATTCGTCCGATCTAGTCTTGATCAAACAAAGTGTGAATATTTCTTAGACTTTATATTTACAAGCGGTATTTTGCATGATGTTGCTTATGGAATAACCAAATTAAAATACGACAGCGGTGAAGAACAAAAGATAGTGCATGCAATACTGACGACAAAATATAGCCACGCTATCATGTTCTATCGAAAAAGTTGTAGTGAAAACAATTATATACCATTATTTGATTCAAGTTTGTGGAAAGTATTGCATGCAATAAAACCTTCAAGTCGAAAAAGCTTAGCTGGATTAGATAATGTTACTGCTTCAGGCATGAATGGTTTTCAAACATTACAAAAATTGGCACAAAGATTTAGTTCTATATCTCTCGAAGCTGCCCTTGAAAAAGGAAAAAGGTATTTAAAAACAAGTTATCAAACCAACAGTAGTGTCAATGACTCAAACATTTCTTCTCATAGCTCAAAACATGCCTTATCAGATCCATCTGAAAAAAATCTTCAATCCAACACAGAGATATCAGAAGTGGTATGTGCCGATTGCTATGATTTGTGCAAAGCTATCGAGATGATCAAAGAACTAACAATTCAAAATTCTGACGATGCTGATTCGATTTATGATTTGGAAATTGCTGTAACGGATGTATTCAACTACATAAAACACCTGATGAGAGATTCTCAACAAAAAAAGGCAAAAATCGAAGCTTTTAAGCAATTAAACGATGAAACTCTTTCTGGCTTAAAGATTTTTGCCAAAAAATTCTTTCGGTTCGATACAGAGAGGGCCAAAGTGAGTATTTAGGCAAGAAAGGAATGAGTTTACATGTGGATATATTCTTCATAAAAATAGCAGGAAAGTTATTCAAACGTGTTTACTTTACTTCAATGTATAGGTGTGATCAGGGAATAGGTGATGTTGTTTTGTTAGCCACTGCAGTTTTAGACCAACTCAGAATTGATCAACCGCATATCGAGAAAATGTTTACCAAATCTGATAATGCCGGCTGCTATCAGGTAAATCTTTCAGCTGAAGCAATCTACAATGTATGCAAAGAGAGAGATATAAAGTTGCTGAGATGTGATTATAATGAACCCTGTTGTGGAAAAGATCAATGTGAGAGGGAGAGTGCAGTTGTAAAGACAATTTTAAGGAGTTACGTTGACTCTGGTAATAATCTTTTGACTGCTGAAGATATACACAAGGCTATGCATTATAGTTTTGGCGCTAAAGATGCAAAAGTAGCAGTTGCTCAAATTAGCAATGATAAAACTGTAGTTACTGGACCAAAGATTAAGAACATTAGCAACTACCACTCATTTGATTTTGGTGAGAAAAGTATGAAGATGTGGCGTTATTTCAATATCGGTGAGGGA